TATAAGCTCAAAAATCACATGTTTGTGATACCCGTTTCAACTGTAGGTAAATTTCTTTTAAATTTATTTTTGGCACTCTTTAACGCCCCCAATTACACTCAAAGCAGTATAATTTTATTATTTGTTACTTTACCTACATATGAATAATATGTATTTCAACTACTAATTGAGTCTTATCTACCATGCATGAGTACTGGTTAGTAGAATTGGCAATGGTGAAATAATTTACATTGTAAGTACTGTATAATTTTGGTAGAATCACACAAGCATGTATTGCTATATTATTCATTTGATAAATACAGCAGATTAGGATGCACTGTAACTAGCAAGTATACAAACATTAATTAAATAATATTTTAGTTGGATGAAGTTGAGTATGCCCTACCAGCAAGTGAAGCACCAACGTTAGCCGAGGTCCTGTCTGCAGAAGATGATGAACTTGACTGTAGAAAACTGCAAAAACATGATGAAGACCCCAGCACTTGTTCTGCACTGCAAGTGGACTTCTTACAGGCTGTGTCACAACAACTTATACAGGCACATGTTTGTACCTACTGTAAACTAGTTGTATCTGTAGAGAGTCATGTGCATAGAATACACACAAATTACGATGGTTTCCTAAATAGAACATGTATTTGCGAATATCTTGTTTCATATCATTATTCCATGTGTACTAAAATACCTTTTGTCTCTTAGGAACGTTCATCAGCTGGTACTGCTACAACTGTCAGTGCTGGCAAAGATGGAAAATTAACAGTTGGCACAGCACATGGACACCTGTTATCATTCCATGATCAAACTTTGAGATGGGTTTGTGATTCAAACACTGATTGTGGTGCAGTATCCTGTTTAGCTTACAATCAAGACAGTACACGTCTTCTTGCTGGTTATGCAAGAGGTCTAATATGTCAATATGAAAGTATAAGAGGTATAGTTCTTAGACGTGTTACCTTAGGATGCAACATATGGGGTACATTGAGAGTAACATGGGCAGGTACATCAGGATTGGCCCTTGATACTGGAGGATCAGTGTGGTTAATAAAATTTTCGCGACCACTTGGAGTGCGTTCTGCACGAACGTCATGTTTATTTTCCGGTGCCAGAGGAGAAGTCGTCGCCATGACTGCTCGAGATGCACGAATTTTAGCATTAGCAACATTATCACGCGTGATAATTGTAGCCGGTGGGCGCGCTGCTGGCGTTCGCCTTGGTGGACCCCCTGATACACTACCAGTTTTAGAATGGAGTGAAAATGATGACAGAATATTGGTGTGTGCCCGTAATAAATCCCTGCAATGGTTGTCGGTGAATATTACTGGCTCGGCAATATCTTTGCGTCCACTGCAGAGGATGGAACTGAAGTCGACACCATTATGGCTTGGTTGGCTCAGCGGGACACTGGCCATTTTTGATGTAAATGAAACCATACGACTCTGGGGAGATGATTATGATAAACCCCTGGATCTGTCTCATGTGGAACCAGTATATGCATCTGCTTTCTTCAAGGTTGGTATCAATATCAAAAGTGGGATTTTTTTGCCGTATGCCTGGTGGTAAGCGGCACGCCTATCCATAACACTTGCAGTGCCACTCAGAGCTTTAAATCGCAAAGATCTTAAGGGCACTGCCACTACGCCCGACACCCTGAGACATAAGTTCACAAATCCCATGTGCCTGTAATTTCTCCAGCACCCATACCCTTCAAAACCAAAACACAGCAATGCTCACATTACTGCTTGGCGGCAGAAATAGGTAAGATGACAGTACTTATGTGGACAAACTCCTTCCGGACCTCTACAGCTACTAAAAAAGAGTGTATCATTGTATTTTAAAACACTTTATTCATTATAATTATTAATACAAAGATCGAACACTCAGAAAAAAATCCTTCGATCCGGTCGGATTCGAACCGACGTCTTCTTGCATACCGTGCCAGACGCTATACCAACTAAGCCACGGAACGAACCAACGGACCTCACGAATTTTTTCTATGTGCTTGCGTCGTGTCTTTGTACTTGCTCTTTCAACGACTTTTTAGTCGTAGCGCCATCTATGAGAAATCTTTATTATATACTTTATTCATTATTTACTATATAAATCACATTATTCTTAGGCTAAATCTTTTAATATTTGAGTGTTGTCATTATTACTTTTTTTCTATCGCACAAAATGTACAATCAACGGCATGTCAAGCTAACACTATTGTTCGAATATCGCCTTCCCACCAGTACAACGGAAAATAATCCGTCAATGTGTAGCTTAATGTGCTGCCATCTGTACAAGAAAATAATCATACAATTTTAACCTATTTTAATTTGTTTTAAATTCCTGTGCTAGTCACAAAGTATTTTAGAATTTAAAATTATTTTTCAAAACGATTGTTCAAGTCCGTTTGTACTAATTACGAAAAATTGGTTTTTAAATGTTGTTGACTCAGAATGATCCACTTAATTAACTACCGAAATTCCTACGCCTGTTTCTTAATATCCTGTATATCATTAGAACAACTTATTGAGAATAGGTATTACATGCCACTTTTTATTGTTATTTGGGTTTCAGGGTCATTGGACAGACGGACGTGTTTCACGAGCAATGGGCGTAGCGGGAACGAGCGCTCTAGGGGGAGCGTGTGTAGCAGACGGGGCACTATCATTGTTGGGTCGTAAAGGGGTAGTGCGAGTGAAACCGCGCGATCTCTTGGCCAGAGCTAAAGCATTTTGTGTCTCAGGACGCTACTCACAAGCACTACGTCTCCTTTGCTCTACAAAAGGCCCTGAAGCAAAGAATCTTGCAATTCAATTTATTATTAACCTCTCTGAAAGACCACACATTTTAAACGATAAAGAAGTAGCAGACCAAGCTGTTAAGCTGTGTTTAAAATATAATTTAAGGTAATGCCATATTAATGGTAACTGAGGTTGCTATTCAATTCAAAGTTATTGTATAATAAAAATAATGTTCATTGATCATTGCAGTGACGAATTGTGGAATTTTTTATGGGAGAACTGTTCAGAGCAAAGAGCGTTTGTGGAGGCGTTAGGAGATGCGGCAGTGCGTGGTGACTTGTCAACTTTACCCCCTTCGCCTGATTCATCGCAGGTAAATTAAGAACATTTAACTCTAGAGTTACTTTCTGTTAAGATAATAGAAGAATAATTTTTTGTTCCATAAACAGGCTCTCATCGAAAAATTAGCGGAATTCGAACCCGGACTCGTAGAACGTGTGGTGGCTTCGTTACCGCTGACGTCACTCGACCCGCATCGCGCAAGTGTGTTTACTAGGGAGAAGCGGCTCTGGCGCGGTGTAGGTGCTATCGCAGCCGCCCTGGGTAGGTACCTATTTTTCATATGTTATAAACATTTAGGGCGCGTTCAAATTGCACGCAGCCACAGCTGCTATAGTGTGGTTTTTTTGACCTTAAATTAATGAAGATCAAATTGGAGATTATATCGTCAATGATAAACTGTACCCTGTAGTATGTGATAGCAGTAGGCCATTTATTCCAATTTACCGGAAAAGAAAAGGCGTTTATACACGGTGTAACCGGAAGGTGCAGTGGAAATTCAAGGTCATAGAAAGTTACTATCAAATAATAAATGGACACTATATTTTTGTTCAATATATTGTCTCATTAAATTAATTTCATTTTAAAAAATACGATAATTCGTCGTTAAAGTTTGAAGTTAGTCGAAAATACGTGACGTAATATATTTTGTTATTTATTTACTTACAATAATTCTACTTTTGAGCATATCTCACAAATATATGTAAACACACACTGTGTGTGTGTGTGAGCGTGTGCGTGTGCGTGTGCGTGTGTGTGTGTGTTATATATAAAACACTGAAAGATCAGATATTTCATCTGATTTCATAAAATCACTAAAACGCAGCCCTGATACACTCGATATTTAACAGCATGAACCGTGAAAGGTGCTAGGTAAATAGTTATAGTAATAGGTAATAACGTCAACGTTTCGGTAGCAGCAAGGTATTTATTTTTAAATGAATATTTTCGACGGAGTGGCGATCATACCTGGGGTAAAAAAAACAATCATGGACAAACAATGGACTAAAGCTAATGCTTATCTAATCATAAGTCAATGGGTCTAATAATATAATAATTATTAGAGTCATTGACTTATGATTAGAGCGTATAAAATCACACAAAATGTTAATAAAGGGAGAATACACATAAAGAAGGAGGGATTTAAGGTTAATAGGACGAGGAATGAAGGAAGGAGGTCATACAAGGAGGAAGTCAATTTAGGACATTCAAAGAAAATGTGATCAAGGGTACCCTCGTCCGAGTTTGTTTATTTTGTAATAATTTGACAATGCCATTGCTTTTTTTTCCATCCTCTAAGTGCCATAGTCATAATTTTACTTTATTATCCCATTGATTATGGTTTTGTAATAAAACAGTTTGTATTTATACTTGAAAACAAATATTTTTCTAATTCTAAAATACTGAACCACATATAAATAAAAGTGAATTGAACATTACATTTTCCCGCCATTTTCGACTACCTTCAAAACAAGTGGTTGTGTTGTGTGATGTTCGAACTCGATATTATATTGATAACGACGAAATATCGTAATTTTGTAAAATGAAATTAATTTATTACGTCTTTGTCCTAGACTTGATACATAAACAACTTTTGTTTAATCTCCGCACAAAAATATTCATCTTAAAGTGCAAAAATTATTTATTTTCGTTGCAAATGTTTGTGACAGTGAATTTTACATAATGATTAATACTAATAGTAAAATATCTACAACAAAATACAATAAAATATACAGATAAATCAAAAAACTAAATTTCAATATTGCGAATCAGCTGATTAATTGTATAGTGTTCGACTAGTGCCAGTGTAGTAGAAATTCGGACTTCCGGATCCACTGCGGACGGATCATATTCGTGTGAGAGCAGTGGTTAAACTGGTTCCGTGTCGCGCGTCAAAGAGTAGGCACTGCAGCTGGCATACCTTGCTTTCACTGCGTTGTCTCACGGAGGACAAAACACGCCATTACCATGTCTTCAGCAAAAAAATGTGGGATGCCATGAACTCGTGGAGTTAAATAGGTGTATGATATGTTCCAAATGCAAGGCACACTATGTTCTTGTGTGCTAACATTCTTCAGGAGCGTTTTGAAAGTATGCGCACTGAGGAAAAGCAATCTTGGATTTGTCAATACTACGCAGTATAGCACCGAAAGCCGACAACACAAATACGCCAATTCGACAAAATCAGAAACCCGTAAATAATGTTGGTAACATACGATGATCTGGTATGTCGGCTCCACGGGATAATGTCACCATTAGACGCAAAGATACCAAAAGCCTCGACGTATCCTGTGAAGCAGAAAATATGTATCCAGAAATGGAAGAAAGGCTACGTACGATCATACGCTCCGAATTTCAGGTGACATTGCAAACAATGATGGAGAAACTTATCGGCAAGGAATTGCAACCTATAAATCAAATTCTCAAGGAATTTAGAGAGTCAGTGGATTTTTTCAACAGCAGGTACGAGGAACTTAGGTCAACCGTGGAGGAGCGAAACGCCTCAATACAGAAACTGGAAGTAGACAATATGGAGTTGCAGTCCACAGTAACTGACCTCACCTTGAGGCTAAGGGTCGTATTCCAGAACTCTACTCAATGCTCAATTCATGATTTGAGTATGGTATAAAGCACTCGAAATCATACTCAAGTCCCTGCCTTTAGGGTCGTATTTCCCGTGCTTGTGTTGCCAGTGCAATCCTGACTTGCGCATTGAATAGAGTTCTAGAATACGACCCTAAGTCTCGCAGAGCGGCACTTACGTGAGAACAATGTGGAGATTAATGGAGTTACTGAACATAAATCTGAGAATTGGGCGAGCACAATTATGCAACTATCATCAACTGTCAAGGCGCAATTTAAAGATGACGATGTACTGCACGTAACACGTGTGGCCAAGCTTGATAGAAATAGCAATAGGCCACGCAGTATTATTGCAAAGTTCCGTAGCACCCGCCAACGCGACTCCTTCCTTGCAGCTGTCGCAAATTATAATAAAAACAACAAAGAGGAAAAGCTGAATTCTCGTCATTTGGGTATCGCAGGCCAAAGATCTCCAGTTTTTGTCTCCGAACACTTGATTCCCAGTACGAAGGCTCTTCATGCTGCTGCCCGTCTTAAAGCAAGAGAAATGAATTATAAGTTTGTTTGGGTACGTAATGGTAGGGTGTATGCTAGAAAAAATGAACAAAGTGGAAAAGCTATTTTTATTCGTAATAAGGAATGTCTAGTTTATTATTTAGCTTTACGTCAGAAAAACCATTATTGAACCATTATTGAGTGGCTTTAATGTTTTTGTCAAAAATGTTTGACATATATTATCAAAATACCCGTGGAATACGAACGAAAACGCATGATATATACAGGGTGTCCGGTAATGAATGTATCATACTGAAATGGCTTATAGCATAGCTTAAGACTATTCCAAAAAAAAATGCAAAAAAAATCTATCCCATGTTACTACATGGGATAGATTTTAGTACCTAAGGAATGTTTTTTTTTCTTAAAAGTTAACTATTTTTACCTTATTTTAAGTTTTTGTGCACTATGACTACAAATGAATGAATTTATTTGGTTTTTTGGTGTCATAATATTCTACGTTAACTGTGTCCTTAGATAAGCAGTAAATGGTATGACTAAGTAATGTACATTTAAAAAAAAAGTTTAACTTCATTTTTCAGAGAAAAAAATTATTTTTTACGAAGTTTACGCGCCTTCTGTATAAAAAAAAGTATGAAAACCTGTGTGGCCAAGTACTTTAAAATAATATAGGTTTAATGAGGATTCTAAAATGGTATCATTTCTCATTGTATCTAATGTAAATATGAAATTATTGCTATTAATGTGCAAACGGAGTAAATTTTACTAAAAAATTATGTTTGCAAAATTGGAACATTTCTTATCCTGAATTGTTCTTGACTATTGAGTTTTGATTAAAAAAAAAGAATATTAGGCATTAATAAACTTTATTTAAAACTTATTTACAGCAAAATTATGCAAAAATCCAATCAAAGTAATTTTTCAATTGTTGTCTTTAAAGTACCACGTGTGACCGTTATTTGCCATCTGCACGATAGCCACATTTCGCCTGTCTTTTGTTCATATGATAAGAATGGTCAGAGTTGGACCAGAGGCAAAGAGTGATAATTAACAGCAAATGTAAAAAAAAACGAAAAGGATTTAGTGCATCATTCGATTTGTTCGGTTTTGCACGTGTTTTCTGTTCCTTTGCGATTTGCTTTCAATCAATGTTCAACTACGAACTGGCTATTTTACTGGACTATAGTTTTGCTTACTGATTTGGACTTTGTTTGTTTGGTGATATTTGCGACGACTTGGCTTGTTTCTGGACTGAACAGGTATTTTGTGTCTGTGAATAAAAATGCCACGTACTCAGTATACGCCACAAGAATATGCAAACATGCATATTATTTATGGGGAATGCGGTACCAGCTCAAGAGCAGCTGAAGCTCTTTACAGAGAAAGATACCCTAACGCACGTCACCCATCTAATGCCGTATTTATAAGAGTCCACCAATGTTACTCAAACCCAAAGGAAGAATGCCTGGTAGTGGTGTTGGTGGCATTAGCGCTGGAAGAGCACCTCGTGATGAATATGAAGAGATGGTTCTTGAAGAAATTCGGCAAGATCCTTCCACGTCGACGAGAGCAATAGAACGACGCACGGGAATTGGAAAATCGACTGTGCGCGATATTTTAAAGAAACATAAATTTTATCCAAACCATGTCACACGCGTGCAAACTCTCCTACCCAGAGATTACAATTTAAGATTGCGTTTTTGCCGACAAATGCTGGCCAAGATAGAGGAAGACCCCCAGTTTTTTAACAAAATTCTGAGACGGCTACTTAAATTTACACAACCTTCATAGCTGGCAACTGCAAAACCCCCATCTTATGCGGGAAGACCGATCACAGCACCAATTTAAAATAAATTATTGGACGGGAATATTAAATGGAAAAATAATAGGACCATTTGAACTACCGGAGACTCTTACTGGCCAAAGTTATTTGGAGTTCCTACAAAATGATCTGCCTAATTTAATGGAAGACGTGCCTGAAGAGCTGAGGGAATTCCATTGGTTCCAAAATGACGGCTGTCCTGCGCACTATGCTGTTTCTGTTCGTGCATATTTAAATGCGACATACCCAAATAAGTGGATTGGTCGTCTGGGGCCAATTTTATGGCCTCCGCGTTCACCGGATCTACATCAGTGTTGGGCAAAATTTAATTGTTCTGGCAATTAAAGATTGACAATTGATTAATTGTCAATTGCGAAACAGCAATTAACGATTGATCAATTGTTAGTTGCGAGAACCGCAATTAACAATTAATCAATTGTTCAATCTTTTCAATGTTTTTGATTAACAATTAACAATTAAAAGTGACAATTATGATAAATTTATAAGGCATATGGGGGTGAGTTAGGGCGTTGGTTGTGGGGGCCTGCTGGGGGCAGGATAAGCGGCCCGGTTGGGAGCCCCGCTTGGGGGCCCCGGTTGGGGACCCCGCTTGGGGGCCCCGGTTGGGG